TATAGAGACAATAACTGGGTTAATAATTACGTAGGGGTGTGGTGGAAACCCTCATGGCATAGTGGTTACGAGTTTGGATGTGATCTGCATGGTCAGCAGTTTGAAACCACCAGTTCCTCCAGGGCTTTCTACTCCCCTAAACAGTTACAGTCTTGGAAACTCACAAGGGCAATTCTACCTTGTCCTATAGCGATTGGCGTCACCTCAATGGCAGTGACTTTTGAGGGTCATGGCATGGGAGAAAGGAAAAGTGGGGAGCTAACAACATATGAGAAGAAAGTGTTCTGAAATTGGTGGTGGTAATGACTGTACAATTCTTCTCAATATGATTGAACAATTAAAGTGTATGATGTGTGAAGTATACACCAATAACATTTATTTAAGTGGGGGAAATTATGGACAGTTCTCAAGTGTCTAGTAATATGAAAATATATATATACTCAACATCTTTATAATCAGAAAGGTGCAAAGAGCAATAATTAAATACTAGCAATATTGAACGATGCATGAAACATCAAAAGAAAATGAAAGGAATACACAGAGTCACAACATCAAAAAGAACTAGCCGATATTTAATCATCTCAAGAGGCAGCATATGGTCAAGAACTGATGGTGTGAAGGAAGAAATCTAAGCTGCACTGAAAGCATTAGCAAAAATCAAGGCTCCAGGAATTGGCGGGATACCAACAGAAATGTTTCAACAGGCTGAAGAAGCACTGGAAGCACTCATTTGCCTATGCAAAGAAATTTGGAAGACAGCTACCTGGCCAACATATTTGTTTCCATTCCAAAGAAGGGTGACCCAGTGGACCTAACAGAATATGCAATTATAGAACAATATTAATACCACATGCAAGTAAAATTTTGCTGAAGATCATTCAACAACAGTTGTAGCAGAATATAAACAGGGAACTGCCAGAAATTCAAGCCATATTCAGAAAAGGACAAAGAATAAGGGATATCTTGACTGAAAGCACAAAATACCAGAGAGATGTTTCCTTGTGTTTGATTGACTATGCCAAGGCTTTGGACTATGTGGAACATTCGAGAACACCTAACTGGGCTCATGTGGAACTTACACACGACAGTCACTCTAACAGGACAAGGGAATACAGCACTGCTTAAAATCAAGAAAGTGTGCATCAGGGTTGTATCCGCTCACCAAACTCATTCAATCTGTTTGCTGAGCAAATAATCAGAGAAGCTGAACAACATGAAGAAGGATTGGAGGAAGGGGTGTTAACAAATTTCGATTTGAAAATGATACAACCTTGGTTGCTGAAAGTGAAGAGAACATGAAGCACTTGATGAAGATCAAGGATTGCA